TATGAGATTAATAATTCTTAAGGTTTGCCATGTTTTGTATTTTATCCCTTATTTGGCTACATTTGAATAAAATGTCGCCAAAAATATCTTTTTAAGTTAGACTAATTAGAAAATATTCTAATGATTATAATATTAATATGTTAATGCTGAAGTTTAAAGGCTGAAAGAAAGAACTCGGTACATGTGAAATACTGCAAAAGATATGATGCAATAATATGGTGGCGCGTTTTTTCAATCTGCGGCGTAAAAATATATCGGAAGTAGTAACCCGGAAGTCTTGAAAGAGCAATTTTACCACTAGCGCCACCACCCTTAGCTTTACACGATCACCCATCCATAGACGAATTTTAACCCCCAGCGCCATCTGTGCGTAGCTTTCCATGGTCAACTACCTAATGAATGGTAACAAATGAAAACAATCCTTAGAATTGAAATTGAAAATTGGATCCGTTAAGTGCAGTCTACAAAGAGTTTTTTTAACATACCTAATATCATTATTTCAATCATCATTGATTTCAGTGATACCTATCTTAATGACATAGAGTCTAAAATAAAAAAAATAGATTAAGAAATTTTAACAATGCTTCATAAATATTTTTTAATATATGTATCTATTTTTTTGGAAATTTTGACTCCCACTCTGTCTTGATATAAATATCAAAGTTCCTTTTCAGAACAGAAAAATTATAAAAAAATATTTTAAGTATCTTCCAAATGACCTGGTAAAATGCTAATGAGATAAAGGGAAAAGGCCAGAATAAAAAAATTTTAAAAATGTTTTATAAATATTTTTTTATATGTATGCATTTTTGGAAACTTCGACGCTCACTCGGTCTTTTGATATTGACATCAAATTTCTCTTTCAGATCAAGAAAATATAAAAAATTTAAAAAATGTCAGACAAATTACTACCTTAAGTTGACTGAATGTAAACAAATAACAAACTTCCTAAAACCGAAAAAAAAATTTAGAAATTTTCCGGTGTATCCCACCACTTATGTTATGTTTACGAGGTGATGTGTGAGCAGGTTTAATGCTCTAGGAAAATTTATTATTGTAATTTTTGTTTAAATATTCTTGAAATTTGTCATTCATAAGAGTTTTCCATAAATTGCAAGTCCCGCAGTGGACTGATGGATAAGACACGGTTCCCACCAGATCACCGAAGTCAAGCATCAGAGGATCAAAATTGTGATGGCATGTCTTCGGATCATCCTCAGGGATGTTTAACAGACCATCGCCAATAGCGCATTGTGCAGCTCCAGTGCGACATAAATAAACTACAACAACAACAACAATAAATTGCAAATTTTAATTGGTCGAAAGCCTAAAGCAAATTTACGAAAATTAATATCTGTTAAAATTAAGTGTACTACTAAGTATAAAATAAAATATCACACAGCTAAAGAAATACTTGGTTAATTAAAAGGACATGAACATATAACAACTGAACACAGCAGAGAAAAGAATGTATAACAGCACTTCGTTGGTTGGTGTTGCCAACAAGAGAACCACAAACCTTTAAAACGATTAAGATTACTCTTTTGATTTTATCACAACACTTCCCCTAAATCAAAAAATGAATAAGTTCTCTCTATAAAAAATAAGGAAAAATTAGGTACACAAGTCTAACATTCCTATCAATTTCTTAAGATATTCAAATTTAATTTTAGGCAGAGCCTTAGTAAATAAGTCAGCAGCTTGTGAATCATTACTGCAGTGAGACACACCTAGTTTATTGTTCTCATAAAGTTCCCTTATGAACTTGTATCGCACATCAATATGCTTTGTTCGGTTATGGAGAACATTATTCTTAATTAATTTAATCGCACTTTGGTTATCTACATTAAGTATAGGCAATTCATCAACGGTGCATAATTCATTCATCAAATTTGAAATCCACACAGCTTCTTTTCCAGCTTGACTGGCCGCCACAAACTCTGCCTCTGTGGTCGATAAGGCTATACACTTTTGACGCTGGCTCTTCCACCCAACAGCACTACCAGCAACAATGAAAACCATTCCTGAAGTAGACTTTCTACTAAGGGGATCACCTGCATAGTCTGAGTCGCTAAAGCACTGTATATTACATTTTAAATCAGCTTTAAACATTATTCCACACTTTTTAGAACCATTAAGATATTTAAAGGTTCTTTTCACTAAATTCCAGTGTTGTTGTTTCGGTTTTTCCAGTACTTGTGACAGGACACCTATCACATAGGCGATATCACGTCTTGTGACCATAGCCAAAAACATTAAGCTTCCTATAGCTTCACGGTAAGGCACATTATCTGGAAGACATGGTGAATCTTCATTTGTAATGAAACCCTTTTCTATTGGTACACTAACTGGATTGGATTCTAACATATTAAAGCGATTCAGATTTTTTTTACAATAAGTTTCCTGGTGTATGAAAACGTTACCATCATGAAGATATTCAATTTGCTTACCCAAATAATGAGTAGCAGCTCCAACAGTTACACAAAATTCTGCTTTAAGTTTGTTAAGAAACTCATCAGCTATCTTTTCTTCCTTGGTGGCTATGATACCATCATCAACATAGACAATTAAAATAAGTGTTCTGCTTTCATTATAAAACAAGCAAGGATCTGCAGAAGATTGTTGCAAACCACAGCTTTCAGCAAATGTTTTGAAACGCTCATTCCAACACCTTGAGGCTTGTTTAAGCCCATAAATACTTTTGAGCAACTTACAAACTTTATTAGTTCCATCATTAAACCCATCTGGTTGACTCATATAGATCTCTTCTGCTAATTCTCCATAAAGAAATGCAGTCTTTACATCAAATTGTGAAAGTCTCAGTCTCTTACTTGAAGCAACTCCTAAAACTGTTCTTATTGTTTCCCATCGAACAACAGGACTAAACGTTTCTGAAAAATCAACACCATATTTTTGGCTGAATCCTTTAGCTACTAAACGAGCCTTGAAACGTTGTACAGACCCATCTGCATTCATCTTTACTTTAAAAACCCACCTACTACCAATGGCTTTTCTTTCATGAGGCAGATCAACAAGTTCCCAAGTCTAGTTCTTCAGAAGCGAATTCATTTCTTCTTCCATGGCACATAGCCATTTTTCAGAATTCTCAGAAGACATGGCTTCTTTATAAGTTTCTGGCTCAGCTAATTCATCTAAAAGAACAAAATCCTTTAACTTAGATGGCTTTTTCAATTTATTTCTATCTCTCAGATAAGTAGAGTCATTGTTTTCATCTGTAACTTCATCAATATTGATTTCAATGTTGCCTTCACTAATGGAGTTATTAACTGTTCCTTCAGCGATGCTTTCATTATCTATAATGTTACTAACTCCTTCAATATTTTTAGGAACAAGATGTTCTTCAAGTTTGCTTACCTCTACAAATTGCTGAACATCCTCAACAGAAGAATAATTAGTACCCACTGAGACTACCTCTTCATTTCGAAAAATAACATTTCTACTTAGTATAATTTTGTCTTGTTCTTTAATATATATTCTATAACCATCTTTTTCACCACAATAGCCAACAAATATACCTTTGAGACTCTTACTATCCCATTTCTTTCTGTTTGACTTGGGTACGTAAATTAAACATTCTGTACCGAAAACTTTTAGATGATTGATGCTAGGAACTTTCTTGTCAAACCATAGTTCATAGGGACTTTCCGACTTTACTGATGAAGATCCAGTCCTATTTAAAACATATACAGCTGTGTTTACGGCCTCAGTCCACAGTTTTAATGGAAGATTCTTTGAA